TTGTAAAAAACATATGAATATGGAGAACTTACTAACATGAGAATAAAATATAAAAAGGTTCAAAAACACATAGAAAAACATTAAATAATGACAGTTGATAACATTTTTTTTTGGCTGACAATGTCAAGTGAGAAAATTCTGAATGACTCGAATTACTAGATCTTTTATTTTCTTTATCATATTTCAGTAGGTACGTGTAAATTTTGCTAAGATTATCAATATCAGTTTGTTTATTCATTCAGCTATCATTATAATCCATATAAAAAATCTTTGGGCAACAAATATTCTATTTGAATCTCTATCACATCCCCATGACATTATATTCAAGAATATATGCGGATATGCCATTGCAAAATATATACGAAAGAGATTTTTTTACCTACAAGTAATTTCATTTGCTTAATCGCGAGAAATGCTGCATTAAGTTTCTTGCAAATCCCATCAATATGTAGACCCCAATTTAAAGATTCATATAACTTGGTACCTAGAAATTCAACATCATGTGACATCGCTATTCCATCAGTAAAATTAACTCCATCTGGGGTGTTTCTTTTTCTGTTATAAAATTTCATAATAACAGATTTCATCGCAATCAAATGATTGCGTTCACATCATGATGTATATCCAGCAATAACCTCTTTGACTCTTGGTAATACATCTTTCAGTGTAGACCCAGTGATTGCATCGTGTCATCGTGTCAATTGTCTGAGAAATCATTAACAAATACTACAAAAAGTAAAGGTCCCAGTACTGATCCCTGAGGAACTCCTGATGTCACATCATGTTCCTTGGACACGATATTGTTATATTTGACTGTGAAATGCCGACCACCCATGTAGGATTTTATCCAAGTCAGTGTGTTGTGTGGAGACCCAAGCCTATCCTTAGTAGAAGAACTTCAATGACAATGATCATTTGTATCACAAAGATATAATCTGTGGAATCGAAAAAAAAACTAAAACTATTGATAGCAGCGAAGAAGGTTTATCTCAGCGGCAGTTCATTACAAAGACAAAATCAGAAAAATGTGATGAATTACAGAGGACAGCAAATTCTATTCAATTGATTATATAAAATTAATCATGAACACATAGTGAGTTTTACGTTGGTGAATTCCCATATGTTTTAAAGTAATGAATCTTATCTCACATGACTCACAAATTATTTTAATTGTACCTGAAATTCAGTTAGAATTCATATGAGGCATTTAGCAAATATTTCATTCGAGAAAAACCCACGGTGTTCTTTCATACGTACGTACATATTGGGAAAAAGCGATATTTCTATAATTCACCAACTCCAATATATTCAAATTAATCGCCTGTCACAACCTAGAATCTTCATAAAATATTCTGCTCTTCAGTGGTCTCCTTGAGTCCAATTTAAAATTTTAATCATTCAAAAAGGAAAAATATAAATTATGCCGGATGGCACGAACAAACAGATGTAACAAAGTCAAGTGGAATATTTGGAATTTCCTCAGTCTATTACATAACTGCGAGTTCGCCTGACCACCTACTGGACCAGTATTATACATGAATTAAAAGTCTTCACAAAAATATATCCCTGCCAAAATATGCTTTATAAAATAATATTCAGAATCGTGTGGATCATCACCGATGGAAGAATCGAACGATTACAAAAAACTCATTTGAATCTCGGACTCAACCTTCGATTTATTATATAAAAGCAACTTTTTGATATCATAATTGTCCACTTGTGTGAAGAAAGTTGACAATGAAAACTCTGCTGGTAAGTTGAACGATTCATTCTTGGACTTATTTCTTCCAATCGATACGTTATCTGCATATCCGATCTTCTTCACCATGAAACGTGATACAAAACGAATTAAAGTTGAAGATTCGAAGTGAATCACTTTTCTTTGATATTTGAATATTCATAGGAAACTGATTTCATGTGGACTAACATTTCTCAAAATGTTTGAGACGTTTAACCATGAACACACATATTTACACCGTTAGGAAGTAACTTTTCATTGTATTTATGTACCTAGTTGATGAATTATAGCTAAATAATAACTCATCTTTTATTTGTATTCGAGAAATTCGTACATTTATAGACATAATGTTCCCGCAGTAAAAAGTCCGGGTTAAACCACGTCTTGTATTTTTGGTAGCACGATGCTTCAGCTTCAAATCTGGATACATTTTCAAATAGATATCATTACTTGACGTCTCATTGTGTGTACTCTTCAGATAGTGACACGCCTACAAGGTTTTTCTGACTTCTAGCTGGTAAAAAGGTAGTCTTTTTTGCTGACTAGTTAGTAAATGGGTGAAACAATATTTGGGTGTCCAGCATGCCAAAACAGTATATTCTTATAGCAGAGATTCCAACCTTTCCCAATCTTTATTATCATCATCAGGGATGCTACAATATGGAGAATGAAACAGATCAGATCTATAAAGAGAGATCAGTCCAAACTACTTACGGTGTTTGTGAGAAGGATTATTAAGATGTTGACACAACATATATAGGTTTATAGACCAAAAATAACATCAGGACGCTGAAGACAAACAACTAATAATTCACATCATATATATGATAAATATATAATTTTTTAAAAAAGGAAACCACCTGTTGTTTAATATGGACCTCTTCGAAGATCAACAAGTGGTTTCCTTTTCTAAAAAATGATCATTTATGATGTATATTATTTGTTGTTTGTCTTCAACTTCCTGATGTTATTTTTAGTTTCTACACCTACTACACCTATACAGCGTGACTCACGGTCGATGGTAGGTTAGACGTTACTTGGAAACGCAAAGCATGATTTGTCTGACATTTCCTTACCTGTTCTATCGATCTAAAATATTTTCAGCATTGCGGCGTTGCCACTTCCATCAAAAAGTCTTGGCAACTTTATTTTTTTAAATAGAACACCCCGTATATTAATACATTTCTGGAATCGCTCTGGTATTTTAATACTTTTTTGTTGATAATGTCCTATACCTATCTCTATCTGTTTTCGAGACAAAAAATAAATTGTGCTAAATATGGTCCAAAACATAGCCTTAATTGAAATTAAGTACATCAGTACTCTCANAGAAATGGGTTTTCAAGAAAAATTTGACCTGAATGTTTTCTGTATTCTGAAGAACAATAAAATTAGCTCTTTCATTTATGAAGACACACTGAATGCAGAGAGATATCTCCAAATATTAAGGACGACTGTAACCGATTTTCTTGAAAATTTACCTTTAGAGGAATATAGGAATTCGTTGGTTTCAACTGGACGGAGCGCCAGCTCATTCCACCCAGGAAGTTTCCAGGAAACTTGACGAACTCTTCGACGATCGTTGGTTTAGGCGTTTAGGGCCGTGGGATTGGCCACCGAGATCACCCGATCTCACGCCACTTGACTTTTTTCATGGGGTGTTTTAAAAGAAAGAGTATACAGTACTTCAGTGCCTACCAAAGAAGAACTGCGACGGCGAATAGTGAGGAGTATTGAAGATCTGGATCCTCAGGAAAATGAAAAAGCAACCACAAGTCGCGTACAAAAAAACATAAATGACTGATTTTTGGTACAGTTGTTCCCTGGAAACTTTGAGCCATAGTGAAGGAAATTATTTTGTAACCTTACAAACTTCCTCTCGTTCATTGGTGTTAAATCAGGATACATTTGGTTGAATTTTCTACACGTTCTGACAATGATTTGACTACTTCTATGCACAATGGAAATAATAGTAATTTTAGCACGCCCTCTATGATATGGAGGCGATTTCTTTGTGTTATTTGAATATTTCGAGTTTGTCTAAACTATCATCAAAATATCAACTTTTCATGAATTGAAAGTATTAATGTACTTAATTTCAATTAAGAACATGTTTTGGACCATATTTAGCACAATTTATTTTTTATCTCGAAAACAGATAGAGATAGGTATAGGACATTATTAACAAAAAATTATTGAAATACCAGAGCGATTCCAAAAAAAATAAAGTTGCTGGGACTTTTTGATGGAAGTGGCAACGCCGCAATGCTGAAAATATTTTAGATCGATAGAACAGGTAAGGAAATGTGAGAGGTGAAATTTTCAGAAAAATCATGCTTTGCGTTTCCAAGAGACGTCTAACCTACCATCGACCGTGAGCCACGCTGTATATATTGGTCCACATCCTAATCATCCTGCCGCTTAACTTCACATACACTTTGAGTTGTTGTGACTTTTTCAATACATATATATATATTTGTACAATTGAGAAAGTGTACTCTTTTAACAATATATTCCAATCATTTCGACAATGTATACTGTCATCCTCAGGGAAAACTACAATAATAGAACATAAGACTAATTGATATTGTACAGTTGAAAATTATCTACTTACATTGTCATTGAGGTTGGACTCAGTGATGTTTAAAATGATTTTTGTTATTATTTGATTTTGATGTTGAACTTAGATTTGAGAAATGGGAAAACATTGAAATTATTTTGAATAGTGATTCAAGATGAATATAGATACACATCAAACAATTAAACATATAAACGTCAATTTCGGTAAAATTATTGTGTAACTTATGAAAAATTTATTGTCGAATAAAAAACTTATGGATTCACATTTAATAGTCAATTTTACAAACAAATCTTTGGTACTCCAATGGGTGCAAAAATAAGCCCAATTTTAGCTATGTACGTGATGGACGATTCACTAGAGTTGAGTTGGAGTTTGTGAGGTTGCAGTCAATTTAGAGGATGCCAGGGAGTAAAAAAACTCTTTGGTATTCCGTCAAGCTTTCGGAAATGTTTATTTCCTTCTTCAGGACTTACAAAAAAATTGTAAACACATTAACAACACAGTTACAATTCCATAGATTGGATGAGACTACTTACTATCGTGAGTTTGAGAGAAGCTAGTTCCTTCATAAAAATCAATACTTGTTGATCATCTTATGCAGAACAAACAGTATAAATGTAGATTCAATCTACATTTAGTTGTTGCATTATTTTCACTCTGTATATGGATCATTTCCAGATATGAACGTTTGAATGCGTTCTTCTCGACCTCAATGATGATAGTATCATCAAAATTTACTGGATGATTTTGTTTTATGGCATGTTCGGTCAACGCACAAGAAAGTTTGTTATATCTGATGACACTCATATGAGACGTAATTCTTCTCATTAGACTACGACCAGTTTGTCCACTGTATGTTTGTTCACAGTGTTCGCAATTTATTTTGTATACTACGCTCGATTTCTCTAAATGTTTCAATGGGGTTTTTGTTTTTGAAAAAAGTTTAGACACAGTTAGTATGTTCTTTTTTGAAATTTTTATGTTCGATAATTTAAAAATGTTAATGAGTTTATTCAATGTAGTTCTTCAATGAGTTCTTCAATGTAGTGAATAAATCTATAAATTGGAATTGTATTATTTTGCAAGTTATTTGTTGTATCACTCTGATTTATGGGTGTCTATGAATTTCTACCACTCGAATTATCAATGCCTTGGGAGTAAAAAGAATATTGTTAATTTATTAAGGGAATAGGAATGTTCATAAAGAATATGTTTGAGTAGATTTAAACTTTCTTGTATATAGATTGGATGTGATAACTTGATGTGATCATGTTAATTTTCATTTTATGTGGGTGGTATGGATAATAGTTGATGTACCTGTCACTACACAATGGTTTACGGTACCATTTAGTACGTAGAACGCCTTAGTTATCTCTGCATATTCTCATGTCTAAGAAAGGGATGCCTTGTCCACATTCTTTTTCGACTGTGAATTACAAATGTTCGTTGAAACTATTAAAAATATTCAGCACATGATTTATTTTGTCTGCTGGTAGAGCTAGAATCAAGTCATCTGCATACCTTTTTACAAATGGTTTTTGAAAAGTAACTGAATGAGTTCATCCAAAACATGATTAACTAGAATAGGAGAAATTGTGGATCCCATAGGGGTGCCAAAAATTTGTTTGTAGTAAGAATAATTGAAGATGAGGAAATTAGAGTGAAGTATTGCAAATTTTTCAGGTAAAATTCATCGATCAATTCAAAATTGACTCTTGGTAAGTTGTCGAAGTCAGCTTTAATAAAACTAGGCTCAACATTCATTTTGAAATTATTTTAACAAAAATACGAAGTTATGTGTGGAAACCATTGACATTAGAAAGAGCACGTTGTCGCATACACTACAGAGGGCGTCGGCTGACTGGATGACAATATGGCTAATATACCAGTACCATTGAATTTCTTATTTTTGGTGGGAGGCATGAATGCATAATTGATTCATTTTATTAGCGTTCATGAGCATTCGAAAACCATTTGAAAATACAGCTCGTTAAGTTCCATTCAAAATCATATTCAGATATAACTATATCAGTTATCAGGGCAAATATTATTCTCCATTTTTATGCTTAATTCGTGGATTCGAGCGATCTTATTATACTTATTTGTTTGCTGGCTTTATTCTTGAAAAAAATTAATGAATAATTACAGAAAATTTCAATTGATCGTTCATTTTCTCAGGTAAATAGAGTACCCATATCACAATTTATTGATTTATTCGGCATTGAAAATGTATGTCATATCGGATCCATTCTGCTTGTTTTTGCAACATTGAGTTTCAACTTTCTCTTAGCTAACAGCTCGCGTAGGAACAATTCGTTTTTTCATCGAGTTTAGTTTGTGTGTGTTTTGAAAGTGTTTTAGAGATATATTTGAATATTAATATGGTGTGGAAAGGCAGAAGAAAACAGAAAGCGCATTGGTTTATATGTGAGTTATTTCATATAATCAGTTTAGGTTCCCAAAGGATAAAATTATGAAAAAAAATGGGTCAAAGTATAAAAAAGAAAGAACTACAATCCTTTTACTCTTCAGTAGCAATATTAGTAAGAGATATGTATGTAGGAATCGTTTTTTCATATAATAAATTACAGTGGTAGAGATTGAGGATTGTAGAATAAATTGAATATTTGAAATTATTTTTAATCCAGTTTGCTATAATTTTTGATTTTCATAACTGTATATTATCAAATGATGCTTAAAATCATGGTTGTGGTGAATATATTGTGATCTTTCAACTTTGTGTACTGATTTTAGATATAGAACTTATTTCCAAACATGATTTTTCCTGTACATTTTATTCCATGTGAAGAATTTTTCATTAATTGAAACGTTAACGGGTTCATATACACTACCATAAATAATTCTATTGTTTCTATTGGTCAATCGAATAAGGAGCGGGAATTAGCCTGTGACATCACCGGCCTACCACATTCGATTTTTAATAATCAATTACGGGAAAACTACGGTACTTAGAGAGCTGAAACAAAGTGCAGTGTTTTTCGATTAGAAATTTCTATCAAGTGCACTATAAACTGTAAATCACGAAACAAGCCCATTGTTGGGATCTTGTGGTATTATTATCGTTGATATATAGGTACTAATAAATGGATACACAATATATTAGATAGAATTGGTCGATTGGCTGACAATGTTACAAACACTCTCGGAAGCTTATTAGGTTGAATCAAATATTTGACGAAATTACAAGATTTACTTAGGTTGAAAATGTTGTACTGAGCATTGATCGATTTTTATAGCATTTCAGAATGGGGTGCAAATTGCAAGTATTTCAAAAATATTTTTTGAAAATAATACTAAACAAAAATATGAACGCATGAGTCGGCTTCAACACGTTTCCCGCAAATATTCTACGAGAGCCAATAAACTCAAATTTCCGTTAGAAAAAAAAACTCTAGGGCAGCGTTGCTAAACATATCTTGGGCCAAAGTTTTTTGATCTCATGTTCCAAGAAGCTACTGAAGCGCCATTTCTACAATATTTAAAAAAAAGGACGACACTCTTCTGAATGATAGTATTTCATGGTCTTATATTATGTCATACTCCAATGCTTCTTTTCACTATCTTTCACTAATTTTGGTGTAGTAATGAATATCTGTATCTAGAGTAGGGAGGGTGAGTGTAAGCCCACGCACTTAGGCCACATGTGACCCATTGTACATCCTCAAAATAACAAATTATCATGAGGAAATTTCTTTTCAAATGACTGTGATTTCTCTATCAATGAAAATGCATCGTGGTAAATTTTGATTTCGAATTTGAAATGCCAGGTTGAATTCATTTCAAGGAATTTGTCATCATTCTCTATCTGGTTATTTGAAATAATGAACTGTAAATTCAGGTACTCCATCAAGTCAAGTACCTCTATTTCTATTAGTACCTACAGGGGTGGTATATAATGGCGAATGTAATGAATCATTTTTAGTTTATTGTATAAGTTTTAAAATTTTGTTATAGGACGAAACTGCAGTAACGTTAGTTACAAATAAAAGTAGTGAAAAACATAGAAAGTTTCATTTCCCTTTTCATCGTCAAAAAAAAAATTGACGTTTCCTTCTTCCACACCATTCACTTTCTGATTGTGTAATAATTCTCTTTTTTTCCAGGTGTTCACAATTACATTTTTGGCTTTCACCTCAGGAGCCGAGAAAACACAATTGAAAAAAGAAAAAAGAAATTCATTAATATTCGATTCTGGAAATCATTTTATCACAGGTTCAGAATTTCCTCAACCAGCATTTCCTTTCGAGTCGGCCAGTGGTTCCATCTCACATGACTTCGGGACCGGTTTTGATTCAGCTGATCTCAATTTAGGATCCCTACGATCCAACATAGGCTCTTTTCCTTCCAGCATTGGGTCTTTTCCATCGAACGTTGCTTCTTTTCCCTCTAATATTGGATCCCTCAGCTCCAGTGGAGGCAGTTTTGGCTTCAATAGTTTAGGTATAAGTGGCAGTTCATTATTGCCCTCTCCAGCTGTCCCTTCTTATAGTTTTGGAATTCCAACAAATTCTTATAATTTGCCTTACCATTCTTATGGTGTTCCATTTGCACGTCATTATGGAAACTACGGCTATGGACAATTGGGCAATGGGTGGAATTACGGTTCAGGTATGTAATGAATTTAGAGAATCTGATGTGTTTTGAACGGTATGGAGAAATTTAGAAAATGTAATCTTGAATGTCATACAAATCAAAATCTGATATCCATGAATTGATGTTCTAAGGACGACGTATATTCAACATTTAATGTGAACTGGTAGTTTTAAGTGGTGAGATGGTCAGCATAAAATCTCAAAGACTAATAGGTGGGGGAATTTTTCAGTACAAAATACAACAGTCGAAAAAACAAAGATAGAATAACTTCACATAAAAGTGATATAAAGCTTAAAAAGAAATCATGTGCATTAACGCAACATTATATAGAAACAGGACACAAACCAAATTACTCTAATATATCAAAGTTATACATGCAGAAAAAAATATTTTCAAACGCCTTTTCCTTGAAATGGTTGAAATCAATAAGTCTTCTGATTGTATGAATAAGAGAACTGATATTGATAATCTCAGCAGTATATGCAATAACTTATTGGAACTACACCAAAAAACACAACGATAATAATGAGTCGAAGATAATCAAATAATCATGCCCATTGAAAAATGACATTTATGTGAAGAAATGACATTTGTCAAACCAAATAAATTCATTATTGTTCTCTTTCGTCGATGTATATGTTCAATTTATTGTTTTTTCACTCATTTTTAGTGTAAATATGATTTTTAATGTTATTCATTGGCAAAAAACCCACAACTCAATAAATTATATATNTTTGAACCATCCTCATTGGACAGGATTCCTTATAGGCGGACAGGATTCCTTATAGTAATGAATATTATTGGAGTTCAATACCAACACCAAACCGTTATTTTAAACACCTCGACACGTGTTTAAATCACCAAGTGATCATCTTCAAGGGGAAGATTGAACTAAACTAGATATCTTTGCTAGGTACCTGCGTTTCATGGTTTCAAACTGATTTTACATGTTTCCTTTTTACTAGTCTTCAATTGATTTTACAATATTACCTCATCTGACAGTCAGGTAAATCTGATAATGAAATATTACTTCAACAAGCTATGTTATTAGGTATTGGTCCACTGATAGTGGACCAATTGCATATATATAATATTTTTATTTGATAATGCTCACCTTCATTCGTAATTATAAACTCATTGGATGGAATACTTATTGTATATCTATCTTATATCTGTATTAAGGAGAAATGAAAAGAGTAAATATGTTTAAAAAAAAATCTGTTTTTCCGTTATTCAGCTGCCGCCCCCAACTCTCAGAAGTTGAGAAACTTGTGCGAGCTAAGGACTAACGAGATCTTACCTCTTAACGTGTGATTCCTAACGCGGTAATTTCGATCAGCTATATAATTCTTGAAATTTGATTTGAAATGAAGTGAAAATATATATACATCTTTCTTCTTTAGAAAAACAAAAGTATAAATTCTCTTCTTTTTCTTCAGCGTATCATCTTCCAGGCATGTGAAAATGTTTTCTTCGTTGTCATCATCTATGCTGTCCTGTATCACGTCTTCCAGAATTACCGGGTTGAATACAGTCTCTTCCTCAGAGTCGGTTTGTGAGCGAACTTATCCATTACACTGGCCACAAACTAGAGTGCATTACAACCCCGATTTTCTGCACCCACAGGATGAATCACATCTGTTTTTACAATTACAAAATAGTGCATTGAGTAATTCCTCAGAAGCTGGTTCTAATATTGTTTGTTATTGGCCACAGGATTTGATTTTGCAGCACCCTGTCCAATTTCAGGGGTTCTATCATGCCGCAACCATTTTTTAAACAGATAATAAAAATGATTCATAGGCTGAAAAGCTGCTGCACTTGTTGGTGGAAGATTGGAAAACTTTACTTGATTTCACGAACTGAATATTTTGGAGATGATCGATACTGTCCTCATATTTAGAAGCCTTTTATATCGCTAGTAAGATGCGTAATCCATTTCCCTATAATTGCTGTAAAGGGCAGTCTTCTTGCAGAAAATTTTGAGCTAGTAGGTTGAATTAAACATTTTTTTTTAAGTTTCTCTGGAGACTTGATGATGAAAGTTTTTTCCCCTTTCTACACAGCGCAGAAGTGATATTCATTCAAATAATTTCTTAGAAGGGGGATTTTTGTCAAAACTTTTTGATGAATAGACTTGTGATTTGAAATTGCCTTTTCTACCTTTTCAGAAAAATTATGTTTGAAATATGTGAGTGATGTTAAATTAAAATAACTAGCAAATCTATTTATTCTGTATTGATGACGGGAGTCCTCTCATGTTTGGATTTTTCGATAGCTGTTTCTATGATGAGTACATCAGCTTCATTTCTTGCTTATTTTGTTATAATATTCACACTAGTTACGTGGTCATAGTTCCCACGACACAGCCATTCACACGGAGATTCAGCTGAGTAAGAGATATTCCAGGAATCCCTTATCTCGACATGCAGTTAGCATCCAGTTAACATTATATTAATTATCATTCTGTTTGTAGCTCTCGTAAGAGACAGTCGTCTCTAGTTTGTAAAATAAATTACAGTACAGTACTCGAGGTCGTAATCTCCCTTGTCCCCAAGTCTCGTTACTAGCTCTATGCTTGCTGTGTTCCATTCTAAGTTCGCTAAGTAAACTAAAAATTCGTTCACAATGACAGATGGTACTTTAGAGATGTGAGATGGTACTTCAACTTTGCGCAGAATCCAAGAGTTTTATTTTCGATAAATTCGGTATCTCCAATGCCGCATAACGCTCAGATAATATTCTTTATTCACCCACCAACATAAACTTTTCCTTTGATCAACTTTGACAACCTTTTTTTAGGTTTCGGTTCAGTTGGAAGGCACTATTCCGAATATTGTTGACTGGTTTCCATGAATTGACTCGTTCTTACATATCTTCTTCAGCGGTCTTTACGCCATTAAATTCCGCAAAAAACTCAAGTATTTTGGCATTAGTCGAGTGGCAACACGTTTCATGCCAAAAAAATAATTTGAAATGGTACGAACTGATTCGTTAGCCGTAGAAGTTTCACCGGCCATCCGGATCAGACTTGAACAACGATTCCCAATTACTATTTCTCTCAATTCAGCTATGTTAAGCTCTGTTGTGGATGTTGATAACCGACCATACCGAGGCAAATTTCCACCCCATCTTGACCGCTCTTAAATGCACTGTACCACTCAGAACATAAAAAATATTTGCAAATGAAGTTTCAATTCGATCAAACGGTGTAGAAATAGTTTTCAGATAGACCAATGTCGATTTGAATATTCTTCCATATATTATTGTTTAGCATTCTCATCAATGATATATGTTGCAATTCCATACCGAATGTTTGTAGTGAAACAGATATCATTCGGTGGAATTTGGTATGTAAAAAATTATCTTCGTGTAATTCAATGTTTATGTGAAAGTATTAGTTCTTTCGAAAGTCTTTCAGTTTCTTTATAACGAGTTTTTATTGTAGTTATTCTTTTCTTCCATGTTTGGAAGTCTACCACATTTTTTGTTCAATGATAAATAAGTAGAAAACCAAAAAGTTTATTTTTATATTTCCGAAAAAATTATAATTCTAGATAAAAAAAATCACAAAAAGAAAATGAACATGCCTTCTACAAAAATAGCGAAACATCCGAATTTTAGTAAAAATTAATGATCTGCTATCACTTTTCTATTTTCATGATGAGAGATCACCTATTTCAGAACTTACTGATAAAAAAATAGTTTGATACCTATAATTTTCGGCTCGAAATAACGTTTCTATTAAAGATTGATAGATTTCATCAACATGGGGTTACAGGTTTCATCGCTTCGATCCCACGTATCCGTACCATCAACCAACATGTAGCAGTACCAGTACCACAACCAGTTCCAGTAACTGTTACCAAAACTATACCAGTACCAACTCCCCTCAAAGTAACTGTACCAAAGCCATATGCAGTACCTGTGCAAGTGAAAGTACCGGTATCGATACCAAAGCCCTACGAAGTCAAAGTAGATCGTAAGGTTCCTGTTCCGGTTACCGTCAAGTGAGTGGCTCATAATTCGAAAGAAATCAATCGGATGCGAGTGAGATAGTGAGTTAGGTTAGGTTGCTGTGCCTCTTTCGTTCATTCAGTATATCTTTAATTATTATACATACCTGATATGTTTTGAAATTCATAAAATAAATTTAATTTGGTTCTGTTGACCAGTTGTTGGCCTCTTAAAATCGACAAATCTGCAAAAGTCAAAATTTGTGCCTGCTAAAGAATAACTATGCATCACCTTCAGAAGTGTGATGATTCTGAAAAAATATCAAAACAGATTATACAGTACCATTACACATTGTAAGAGATGACATTTCATAAAAAAATAGATGTCAGCAAAGCCCGATTGTTGTATATTAATTGTTGAAGATCCAGTTGGTTGAAAATAAATATCAGCAATTACCGATATTTTCATTTAATCAGTTCGGACTTCCTTTGTCTAATACGATATAAATTGATTTAAAATCCCTGACAGAATCTGTAAAAAATTAAAAAGATTAGCTGAAAAAACAATTTTATCAAGCAAAAAACTGAAATTATAATGAAATAACATACAAGCAAGAACCAAAAAAAAAACAAAAAAATTGAACTATCAACACGGGCTGAAAAAATTAAAAAATTATCAACAAGAAATGAAAATTATAAATATAAAATCAAAACATACCAAACCAAGTTATTATCGGGTTATCACCCGAAGACGATTGTGGATACTAACAATCAAATCGTCACGAAGTAACTTGGTTTGGAATCTTTTAATTTTTATTTCTTGTTAATGATTTTTTAATTTTTTTCAGCTCGTGTTGACAGTTCAATTTTTTTGGTTCTTGCTTGTATGTTATTTCATTGTGATTTCAGTTTTTTGCTTAATAGAATTGTTTTTTCAGCTAATCTTTTTAAATTTTTTACAGATTCTTACAGTGATTTCAAATCAATTTATATCATATTAGACAATGGAAGTCCGAACTGATGAAATGAGAAAATTGATAATTGCTGATATTTCCTTTTAAACAACTTGATCTTCAACAATTAATATAAAAGAATCGGTCATTGCTGATATCCATTTTTTATGAAATGTCATCTCTTACAATTTGTAATTGTACTGTATAATTTGTTTTGATCTTTTCTCAGATGACAACGTCGTGATCACTGTAACCGGAAAATATCTTTCATGATTATGAATTTTACTCGAGAATTATGATAGATGAATAAAATCTGATTCGATTCCAGTTCGAATGTTTGGAATACAAACGCAATAGAAAACAGTGTTTTTCATATAATTCAGCGTTCATATAGAACTATTCGTTTTGAAATAATTTTTTTTGTTCAATTCAATGTTTATATGAGAATAGCTGTTCCAAATGGGCTTTTTCTTCCAGTTTGTATATGAAAGTTACTTCATTGCATGATCTACACATCTTTGTATAGAGTAAATTTTTGAAATTAATTACTTCCTTTCTTTCTTCGGAAGATTCCCATATTTTTTGTAACAAGATGGAGAAGTAGAAGGCCAAAACTTCTTTTCCAAAAGCTACTGGATTACTTTTTTGAATTCACATTTTTTATCTAACTTATCGAGTGAATTTGAAGGATACCTATTGCGTTCAGCTATATCCGTGACGTCGAAGAAACGTAACGAACAAGAAAGTCTACTCCCGACACTTTTTTGTAGACAAAGGTTGTAGATAGCAATATCTACCAATAACAGTATTTCCTCTATATAGACATCAAGATATCTTAGAATGGTAGTTAATCATAAATAATGAATTGGATCGAATGTTCAAAAAACAGAACGTGCAATTAGCTGTTAATTGTTCTCGTCCAGTCAACTAATGTTAGGAGTCATAAAGACGAGATGACGAAAAGTGTAGGGACTGCAGTGTGTTTGTACGAGTATGTTGGTCACTAATGTTTTATTGTTATTTAGTCAGATATACGAAGTAATTTTAGCAGTTACGAGATTTCACTATTCAAAAATTGATTGGATGATAAGATATACTGAAAACCAAAAAAATATTGCAATTCACTCTGAAATTGCAGTTTTTTCATGAGTTTATAGCAAAGTTTGTGATGGACACAGCGATCGGGTTTTAACATATCGACATTAAGATCTCCGCTAAATAGATCATACTCCGCTCAACATGTCTGTCATTGGGGATCACTTGGAGAAAGGGTAGGGGATCATACAGAGATACACTTTTTTTCTTTTGAGAAATATAAATATTCAGAATTTTTCCATAAACATACTCTTTAACAATATTCAACTTTCAGGGTACCTATAGAGATCCCCAAGCCTTATCCAGTCTACAAAACTAAAAAAGTAAAAATTGAAGTCGAGAAACCCGTTTTCGTTAAAGAACCTGTTGAAATCAAGGTACCAATACCAAAACCCTACCCAGTTGAAATACCCACTGGCGTTCAAGTGAAGGTGCCCTATCCAGTAGTCGTTAAAGTACCGCAATTTGGAGAACAGTGGAGTGGAATAGGATCGTTTGAGAATATTGGAAACACGTTTCCAGGTACATACAGTTCTCGTAATTATAAGGTATTTCATAAATATTTGTTTGAATGAGGTTTTATTCTACACTACACAAAAATCTTCAAAAATAAGAAAAGATCAAAAATAAGTGAGTATACATTCAAAAATATAAGAATGCTAATTTGAAAAGAAAATAATTCTTAAATTATATGACTTGACAAATGGATTGAACAATAAGTGGAATCTCAGTAATATGGGAACAATGAAAATAAAAATGAGATAATGAAAGATCCAAAACAAGCACTTTCCTCAATCAATAGAAATATACTCGACGCACGTTTCACCAACCAAATTGGCGTCTTCAGGAGTTGAAAACACTCTTGAGTTTCCTCAATGATTTCTTCATTACCCGAAGACGACACAACTTGATTAGCAATGCGCGTGTCGAGAAGAGTATTGCATTCCTGGTAATTGGAAAAAATGCTTGTTTTGGACTTATTCTACGCCAGAGGTTCCAGTTTCACTTTACATCAAAATATATGATGCAAATGCAAAAAAAATTAAAAAAGTTCAAACCAAGCTACTTTCACAACTTTTCAATTGTTAGTGTTTGAAATCGTCTTCATGTGAGAACTGGCTCAATTCTGTCATTCTGAGATTATTTATAGGTGATTCAAATGCCTTTCTCCTCTCCAATTTTTCTTTATATTTTTGAGTTCAGTGCTCTTTAGATCGTGTTTTCGCTCGATTAGAGGTGTGTCGTTGTGCATATATGTGCACAGATTTTTAAAATTTTCTTTCAAATCAGTGTTTCTCCATGTGGATGATTTCAGTTTCAAACCACTTGATGTTATACTGATAATTCCAAACTTGAATTTCACTAGTTCGGACTTCCATTGTCTACTATATAAAATGATTTGAAATCCCTGAAACAAGTAAAAAAGAATAATTAAAAAAGAATAGTTGAAAATAACAATTATATTAAGCAACAATAAACCTGAAATGAAATGATAGTGAAGTAACCTACAAGTAAAAATATAATAATTGAATA